TCGAGCCGCAGGTGTCCCCCACTTCGGGGTTGGGTATGACTGGCTGAAGACGCTTAATATGCCAGAAATGGTCATTGTAGTCACTCTTAACTTTGTCGGTAATAACATCTTGCCTATTCAGAAGATGGAGATGCGAGCACTGGAACAAAAAATTTAGTGGCATGACGTTTCGGATTCTCACTCGAATCCATCATCATAGACAGTCGCAGATAAGGCTAATGGTGGCACCAGGAGTGCAGTATTTATAGCATGTGGCTGCCGTGGGACCGTATGCGCACTGCAATTAACAGTTCTCGCAATCACCGCTGGGGTCGTAATTGATGCGGTGGTGGCTTGTCGGTCCGAGTCCGAGTAGTTAATTGCCGCGATTTCGACATCCGTGTTGGATGCTGGTGTGACGATGGCTCGGCAAACTGGCTCACTGTCACCGTGATACTTGCTCACCCGCGCCCTCCCCACGTGACTGATTCTCCTGCCCAGGGAAAATCGCAGTACGGAATAGGGTACCGGGAGTTCATTGTGCTTGTTGATGGATTGTGGACCATGCACTCCTGGTGCCACCATCACCTTTATCTGCGAATTTCTCTGATGATGGATTCGAGTGAGAATCCGAAACCTCCGGCAAATAACTTTATTGTTCCAGTGATCGCATCTTCATCTTCTGAACTCGCCTGTTCGCTTCGAGCAGCCATCCTGCCTATATTATGCGCCATTGTGCGGCTGCTGGTTGGGATCGAGAGAGGACCCGTAAGGCACAAAGGGACGCGTTTGTTACGTAAAATGATCGGTGACGCCCTTTTACCATTATACAGCATCTTTTGGTTTCCTAATTATCCCGTGCCGGGAGGACATTAAATGCCGTTCTCACGTGTCTGGCAGTTTAGGAGAACTATTCGACTGACCAGGAAATTAGGGTTAACTGCTCCCATGCACTCCTAGAAAAGTGATCTTACTCGATCCCATCCCCGTATAATAATAAAATCAGTATGCTACAATGCCACAAATATGAACGTGCATCATGAAGATAAATATTAAAAGTTTGCCCTTAGCCCCCTAATGCAGAAAAAATTCAAAAAGCGTTTTGAAAGACTCCTTGAAAAAAGCTGTCTAGCATTTGCGCTTTTGCGATAATAAGTTGGTCTAAATGCGGGACGTTAACCTCCAAAACCTTTTATAACCGCGTGTTTCCAAAGGGCTTCGTCTAGAGGAAAATTCTGAGTACCTTAGTGTTATGGTCAGTTATAGCTAGCTGCAAGTTAATGGGTCAAAAAAATCAAGTAAGTTCGTCATTCGAAGGTTTATGGGCGGCGGATGCCCGTATTAAGCACTCCGTAGAAATCGAATAATTTCATAGTGCATTGTGAACCTGGGCTTGAGAAACGATGAGTTTACCATTGATCCCAAAATGTCAGGGATTTTTAGAGCAAAAAAAGCAAATTATATTTCCATTCTCAGCGGAATACGGACACATCAAAAGGATTTACAAGGTTGAAACGCAAAAGCCGCAGTTCCGGTTCGAAAAGAGAATGGACATCAAAATAATCAGTATTGTCGATGTAGGTCTGCAAGTCATCATTCACGTCTAATCGAAGGAAGAAAGAAGCTCTTTCTTCGTAAAGGAGTGAGGGGGATGCCTAATGGAAGTGGGAATGTTTAAGACACAAAGGCAGTTTGTGCGACTGCAAAAGCCCCACTATCACGCAAATTCCATAAAACGTCCTTAATTTTTTCATCCCCCAACACTGACCTGGATTTAGTATTTTATGCGCTAGGCCAAATGGAGTCCAACTATGCAACATCAGCTAAATCAGTGTGCAAGGCGTTCCTGTCGGGTAACACAAAGGTAACTCTTCTTACGCCAGTTAGCAGCTCTGTGCGGTTACATAAAACCCTTACAGCCGGAGCGATTAAAAAAGCGCAAGCCCAGTAAATCTAATAGCCCAGCATGTTACTTTATCTACTAAATCATCAAATTATTATCGATCTTGTATTATCAAATAGAGTTCTAAAACATGGCACGTGTGCAGACGACTCCCTAATGAGCCGAAGTTTGTTGGTTAATGTGCGGATTTTGTGTTAACATGTATAGTTTGTTCAGTCATTACGAAAAACTATATAATAATAACGGCTCAAATCGATTCAATGTGCTCTTCAAGTCAAAAGTAAAAATAACAGACAGCTTATTTAGTAGTTTGCAACAACCGAAACCGAAATAGTTTCGCAAAGATAACTAATTGCACAGGATTCCAGAGTTCTGCTCTAATGATACACATTTATCTGACGTTAGCTTTCCAATGTGATTCCCTCAAGTAAACATAAACAGTGCTAGGAAGAACGATCGGTCATACAGTGTGAACGTGCCACCTTTACAGTGAGAATTGTCGTGCGTAGAGCAATGATCCTTTCTAAGAAATTTTCGATTGTTAAGATGTTCGGAAATATTCCAAATCCCAAATAATTTGACGCATTTGCATGTTACTGGCCGAAATGTACAGATATGCGTGTTACGCGACTGACTTAGGTCCTTACACTACGTCCACTTCTGGTTGCTGGAGTGTAGAGTTCAGTTGTGGGTCCAAGTAAAGGTCGTAGTGAGGCGCTCACTTGCTTGCGGGCGTTAACTACGCCTACCAAATATTAACTGACACCCGATTCTCACATGCGGCTCTTCGAAGTTAGGGTCGGCCAACAGTCCACGCCTCGACCGGTAGGCTAAACTGGGTGAGGGTATCCGTGTGTATCCCCCACACGGTAGTTCCGCTCCTCTCCCTCCTTCCCTCCCCCTTACCTCACCTTCTGCACATCCCTTTTCTTCTCTTATCCACTCCCCTCTTCCCTCCGTCCTTCTTCGTCGCCCTTCGCCTCCCCTCTTCCTCTCCCCCTTTTCCTCTCCCCAACTCTCCCCACTTCCCATCCCTCTTCTCCCTCTCTGCTCCATCCTCCCCACTCGACTCTCTTATCCTACATTCGACCTGCGGCGAGGGCGACAGGCAACCACGTAGGCGGCCCAAGCCATTGGTCGTTTTCGCACCAAAATGAGCCGCCCGTAGGGGGAGCGATGCCCATCTGGTACGAATAGGCAGCCCTATTTAGGGAGAGAACTGCCTACTCCTTCAAGAGGGAGAGGGCTATAAAAGGCGCCCTACACAAATTCTGGGTTCGCGAAATCTGCGCGCCGACCGTGGCTTGCAGATTGCTACGCATGCTGTCGAGACCATCAAAACAGAAACAATATTCTCTCTTCC